TAACATGCAAGTTCAGAAATATATATTAAAAGAGGGAATTGCCGAAAAACCTATAGTGCACTGAGAAGTTGTTCCCCTGGTTAGTGGTGAAAGTTAAGTCTGTGGTATGTATAGATCAGAGGAGCTTACCTGTGTGTTCGCCTTTGGTGACCTAGGTTGGGGTGCATAGGTGAAGATAGCATAGAAAGGCCAGGGGCCATGTTTTCCTCAGCTGGAAGGGCATAATGGGTCCATGTGGCCTGTTCTTACAGGGTCTGTTCCTTGGGCTTTTTTTTCCAAGACCATAGACCATAATCCTTTGGGAAGCTCCCAAAGGATTGATGATGATGAAGATAGATAAGAGTCTGAAAACTAACCTGGGGAAGTCCAAGTTGTTGCACAGAAAGTATGGTTACATTGGTGAAGATGTGTTCTCTCAAGACATCCTTTTATCACTGTGTTCCTTGAACTTTCCTCTGTGCCACCAAAAATAAATAAATAAATAAATAAATAAATAAATAAATAAATAAATAAAAAGTAAAAAATATGTATGTTGGAACACTCTGTGAGGAGTCCTTGGCCAGTTCCCTGGGTATATTTTCAGAGCAGTCTTGTCAGTTTCAGCCCCTCTCAGGCTGTGGACACTTTCCTGTGGATCTCCCTGCTCAGCTTACCTCTGTCCACACCACACACAGCTGTCTGATTCCACCCCATGCTCCGCCTTCCTATGGGCACTTTTCCTGATCCGTGGTGTCTGTAGGTTCAATCACTATATCACGTGCAGAACTTCTCTCCTTCAGTGACCTTTTCTGCAGATAAGGAGAAAAACACAGTAATTTCTGCTTCATTCTCCACCCTGCTGTAATTTATGGAACAGAGCGGTTTGTCTCATTAGCAAAATCAACTGAGAACTGGCTAGGAAAAGTATATTTGGGTCTCCTTGGACTCCCCCGTAATTTCACAATGTGTTTTTTTTCCTTTCTCTTATATAGTTCTATTTTCATTTGGTAATGCTCGTTAGTGTGAAGGTTTGCCTTGATTCCCAAACAAACATCCAAGTCCCTTGGGATTTGGTGCCTGCCTTTTCCTAGTCATGTATTGCATGGACCCTGCATAATGAATGGAGCATGCTCAGAGTCTACTTTGCGGCTAATTAGAAACCTCTGAGACTGTAATAAACTACTCCTTCTTCAAGTCTAAGGTCCTCCCCCCATTTGACCATTTCCTTTGTAATACTTTTAGATGTCTGAGAATATTTAATGGCCTCACTACCTTTGAAACATAATCTGCATGTTTTATACCTGAAGCTAATATGTTATATACCAATTTTATTTAAAAAAAAATTGGACAATGAACTCTTCCAGTTGGCCTGTTCCCTCCTCCAGCTATCCCTGCTGAGAAACATGCTGGGAGGTGATGTTGGTGGTTTATATCATCAACCTGTAAACATTTCAGGGGGCTTCTTCAGAAATGCCAGTTCTGTTTTTATTTTTCTCTGTCAGACCCTCTTCTTTTCTCACTATATGTGCTCTCCCTGGGTAATTTTATCTGCATCTGTAGCTTTAATTATCATTTCTATGCATATCAATACCATTTTTAGATGTCGAGCTCATGTCTGTCTTCTGCACTCCAGAACAACCCTACCATTGCCTACCGGATGTCTCCACTTGTAAATCTCCAAAAGAATAGCAAACCTGCTCATTCCAAACAGACCTCACAGACTTCCCATACCTACCCCAGCTCTACCCTACCTGCTACCCTGTCAGTGTTCTCTGTATCTGCAAGAAGGGATCCAGTTTCCTACCCCCAGAACTAAGGAATCTTCCTTGACAAGTTCCTCTTTCTCACATCCCATGTCACCACATCTACTGTTGTTGCCTAAATATCTTCCCAATCTGTCTACTTATCCCTGGTCTAACCTACTTCATGTCTGTTCTGGACAACTACTAAGGTTACTCTATTCTAGCTTCCTTACAGTTGTCCACGTAGCAGCCAGAATGATCTCACTGTCAGAGCCATTCACAAAGTTCTTAGTGTGGGTGCATCTTGCTTCCCCTGCCTCCTCTTAAGCTACACCCTCTCTCACTCTGTGCTCCTGCCCCACTGGTCTGCTTTCAGTTCTTCAAAATAGTCTCCTTCTGCTACTGAACTTCTGCACACACTTTTTCCTCTTAGTGCACAGTGCTTTCTCCCATTCTGAATCTTGTCTTGCAGGTAGATGAGCTCCCACGTCAGTTCCCCTGGGAAGTGTCCCCAGTTCTCCCATTTAGGTCAGATTCCTCCACAACACATATGTTCATGCAGTAATGTGTTCCTTTTCTTCAGAGCACCTGACTTGGATTTTCAAAATATTTGCATGTGATTTTGTGTGTGTGAGTGAAAAATCCATCTCCTTCATCAGACTGTAAATCCATAGTATTGGTTACATATTCATGGAGAAGATGTACACAGTCCCTTTTTACATGGAGTTTTGTATTTAGTTAGGTCCTTGATAAATATTTTAAAAAGTGCAGTGATCTAGCAGTGCAAAATGACCATAATTGAGGTAAAGCATGCTGATCACTAGGGAAGCTGCAATGTCTATTTCTACTAAGTACCCAAAGCTCATTCTTATATTTACTGCCCCATTTAAGGCAAGATAATAGTGTCTCTGTCTGGAATTTCTGCAAACACAAAGACGTAGTGAAGGCTGGCAGGAGGGAAACTTCAGAGAAGGCACTGGTGGTAGAGGGGGTCCTTTCCTTCTGGCTTTTGGTCCTTGGTTGTGATGCCAAATTCCTTGAATTCATGTTTTTCAAACTTTATTTTTTAATTTATGTTTAAAAAATATTTATTTATTTATTTTGAGAGAGAGAGAGAGAGTGATAGTCTGCGAGTGGGGAAGGGGCAAAGAGAGAAAGAATCCTAAGCAGGCTCCATGGTGTCAGCAAGAGCCCAACACAGGTCTCAAACTCATGAGCCATGAGATCATGACCTGGAGTCAAGATCAAGAGTCAGATGCTTAACCAACTGAGCCACTGAGATGCCTCCATGTTTTTCAAACTTTAGCAAGCATTAGAAACAACAGGAGGACTTGTCAAAGTACAGATTTCTGTGGCCCACCCCCAGTTTCTGACTCTATAGTTTTGGGGTGGAACCTAAGAATTTATATTTCTAACAAGTTTCACATATGATGGTGCTGGACCACAATTAGAGAATCATTGCCTTAGGTAATTCCATCATGAAACTCAGTCCCAGACAAATTATCCTTTATGAGGATGACCTTCCATAGAGCCCCTGCTTTTCTCAGTGACTCTGACTGTAAAATTCATGTACTTGAAGAAGTGTACGTTGGGTGGGCAGAGCATGATCCCTTGATGATTTCACAGTTGGAGAGTTCTGACTGATTTTTAATGATCTCACCAGTATTAGCACCTTTGCCAGATATTCTGAATAAGTAAGCATGTTATTGGCCACTGGATTTCTAGGCATTTCAAGAGTACTAATTAGTACTTCCAGGCATTTCAAGTATACTAATTAGAATGTGTAAAGAAAAGGAAGAAATAGGTGATCTTCTGTTTGAGCTAAAGGGCATATAAATAGTGTAACAGTATCTTTTGGCGGGGGTGTGCTTTCACTATGGCATAAGGGAAGCTGATGCGACTCAGTCAGTATAGTGGTGGGGGAAAGGGGAGCTCAGGTAGAAGCAGCCTTTGTGGGTAAAATGGAATTTTAGTCTAGTAATATGTTAGTTTAGATGTCAAAAGTCTCCAAGGAACACAAGGTATGAGGGTGAGAGTGTAATATCATGCACAAAGAATTAGCTGAAGAATGCTTTGAAGAAGACCCATGGTTCTAATTCTGCTATGCCAATATAGTCTACATCTCTGGGCTTCCATTCCTTCATCTATAAAAATGAATTTGTTGGTCTAGATCAAGTGTCAGTGGATATTTGCTGTATGGGGCCAGGTAGCATATATTTTAGGATTTGTGGGTTATACCATCCCTGGTGCAACTGCTGAATTATGCTGTGGGTAGTGTGGAAACAGCCACAGAGGTTATGTAAATGAATGGACATGGCTATGTTCCAATAAAACTTTATTTACAAAAACTGATGGTGGACAGAACTTGGTCTGGTTAATCTTTGAACTTTTCTTTTTTTCATGTTTATTTAGTTTTTTGAGAGAGGGGGTGGGGAGGGAGAGACAGAGACAGAGCACGAGCAGGAGAGAGGCAGAGAGAGAGGGAGACACAGAATCCGAAGGAGACTCCAGGCTCTGAGCTGTCAGCACAGAGCCCGATGCAGGGCTCGAAGCCACGAACTGTGAGTTCATGACCTGAGCTGACTCAACTGACTGAGCCACCCAGGAGTCCCTCTTTGAACTTTTTCGATCACACACTCCTATAAGTAGCAACAACGAAAGAGCTTACCATGTATGTTTCAATAGATGTGTACTAATTTACAAATAATATGAATCTGTAAGTGTCTTATATACTATATACATTATAAAACATTCCCTAATAATAGAAGTTTAGTAGGGATACCACAAAATAAATAAAAACAGATTTCATTCTTTTTGATTGCTGAGTAATACTCCATTGTGTGTGTGTGTGTGTGTGTGTGTGTGTATATATATATATGTATATGTATATATATATATATATATATATATATATATATATATATATACCACATCTTCTTTATCCATTCATCCATTGATGGACATTTGGGCTCTTTTCCATATTTTGGCTACAACTACATGGATGGAACTGGAGGGTATTACGCTAAGTGAAATTAGCCAGAGAAAGACAAAAATCATATGACTTCACTCATATGAGGACTTTGGGAGACAAAACAGATGAACATAAGGGAAGGGAAACAAAAAAATAATATAAAAACAGGGAGGAGGACAAAACAGAAGAGACTCATAAATGTGGAGAACAAACTGAGGGTTATGGGAGGGGTTGTGGGGGGGGATGGGCTAAATGGGTAAGGGGCACTAAGGAATCTACTCCTGAATCATTGTTGCACTAGATGCTAACTAATTTGGATGTAAATTAAAAAATAAATAAATAAAATTAAAAAAAATAAATAAAAACAGATGATCTAGTTTTCCCACATTCTAATGGATCTTCTTGTATATCCCCTTGAGACTGTGGAGGCCACTCATCTTGATAGTTTCGAAGGTTCTTCGATGCTCTAATGTCCTATCGTTATGTATGTGGTAAATCTTCCAGGATGCACAGCTGCCAGGTGATTTGGGGCTTCATCAGCTAGAGAGGTAACTCTGAATGATTTGTACTAACAGAAGGAAGAAGAGATGCCAGTAATTAATAAAAGAGACAGCTGAATGTGGTTTGGGAACACAGCAAAAGCCCAGTTTGCAGAGAGTAGTTGTCCCTCTTGTTGGGGCAGTGGGCACAACCATGGCTGCAATAGACTGGACACCAGGGAAGAGTCAGTTTGAATGGCTATGGAAAATTGGATAATTAAATATTTATATGAAGAAAAGAGGTCATGAACTTTTAATTCTGTTAGAAGCTTGTGAGTTTACCCCTTCATGTTTCAGATGAGATCTTTGTATCTAGAAAAATTCTGTGACAGCTTGTTAGAGGCAAAGTTGGGCCTGGAACTCAGGGCTTTAAACATTCTCACCTAGGTCCTCTCCACAAAAAACAAAAAGTTTCTTTGTCAGTGCCTTTCATTTAAGAACAACCTCCTTTTCAAATCATTTGAGCTACGTGGCAAGAATTATTCGTCTCCATCTGTTGAACATTTAGATTGAATGATTGTGTAGTCCCCAGCACCCAGTGGAACTGGAGCCCTCCTGAACAGGGGAAGGAGTACGTGTTTTGTGATTTCTTTCTCAGTCTCTCCACTTTACCTTGAACCTGGAGCATATGGGCACCTGGGACCTGAAGAAAGCATATCACTGAATTGGCAGGGTGCTCTGAGAGTACTTCATGTCCGTATCTACCCTTGTGATCAGTCATCAGCCTGTGGTGAATATAATGGTATTTGTAAAGGGAGAGGAATCAATGCCAAGCCCGATGTAAATGCTTTCATGAATCCTCCTCTTTGAACAAAAAGAAATGTGGAGACATTGCATACAAGGAAAGTTCATTAGCAATCCCTGAAGGTTACTGCATCAAATTCTGTTTCATGAGACTTTAGAAAGAGAAAGTTAGAGATTTATTCTGGGGTGAAGGACTTTGGCTTCAGAATAGCGAGGGTCTCCAAGGGTATTAAGTGCTTGGGTCCTGTCCCTGGGGGATCCAAGAAGATTTTTAAGCAGGGCAACTGGGCTGAGAATGTCTGGGATGTGTAGGGTGCTGAAGGGAGTTTACATGTTTTGAGCAGGGATGGGTGCAGCAATGTGGTGTTTCAGTGAACCAGAGGCTCTGCTGAGGGGGTGGACTGGGGGTGGCCAAGAAGGCTGTGCCTCATGGGGTGAGAAAGTGATCTGCCTGACTCCCTGGTGTGGGACACCAGGGAGTGTGCAGACACATCTAGTGTCTGATTCCGTATAAATCCATTTGCCAGTCTCTCCCTTTCTGGATATACTTTTGGGCATTTCCCATTCAGAAGGGTTTTAGGATGGAACTCCCCAATGCTCTGTTCCTTTCCTCTAGGTTAGTATTTCCATGGTAAGAAATACAAAAATTTTCTGTGTGGGTGGATGCCAGAAGGGTGTTTCTCTTTTTTCCTCCCCCCGCCCCTCAAATAATGATGAACATTCTCTCTCTACAAGGCCTTTTGGCACAAAAACACTGCCTGTGCTGTCTGATCCTACCGTCTGTCCTGTTAGTTCTTTCTTTGCAGATCTAACTTCAGAGTAACTAGCCAGCTAAACACATTGGGTTGTAGATCTGGAAGAGTTTTAAAACTATATGGCTCTCCCTCTCTTTTACATCTTCTGGAGATTTATTTCACTCTCTAGTTCTTTTATACATCTTGGTTTCTAGTTTTGCTTTGAGTGAGATTTTGAGAATATTTCCCCCCTCTGGCTTCCATTTTAAGTCACTCATTGCAAGTATATGTTAGACATACTCAGTTGTTCAACGTTGTCAAAGAAGTAGTGATTCTGGATGTGTGTGAAAGAGGGGGGAAGGAGTGGATATAATTAGAAGATTATAATCTGAGAATCTGATTACATTTCTATCCTTGCGTTCTCTTGGAAAAGCTAAAACTTCGCAGTAATTCTAAATTTATTCATTTTTTTCTTCTCTTTAATGTTTGGGCTAAAATTTCTTCTTGCTCTCGCCTTTGAATACAAATACTTGACCTAGGAAAATCACAGCTGACAAAATTGTCTCAAGTGGGGCATGAGATCTGGTTCTCTGCAATTTTCCAAATGCAAAAGTTAGGGGGGGGAAATATCATCGAAACACATCTGGGAGAGCTCAGTGCCCTTTTAGGGGAGTGTGGCTTTGTGTGCTCAGGGCTGGTAAAACGTTGACAAGGTTGGAACCTTGATGGTAAGTGTCAGATAAACATCCTCCTGCAGCCAAACTGAAGAGTCTTGCTGGGATGGGGGAGGGGAAGATTTTCTAGGAAGTGCTCAACACAGAGCTGACAGGATCTTAGAAGACAGAAAGTAAATAGGGGTTTTGTGTTGGTCTTTGAATACAGAACCCGTAAAAGCCCCAAGCAGAAAAACAAAAATCTCCCAGATATAGATTCTAGGAAAAGGCATCATGTTATCTACCTTCATCCAAAGAAGAAAAAAAAAATCCCACTGAGAGTAAACAGCACCTTCAATGGCTCTTCAAACGCTTCGTTGCACACCTGAGTTGGTTGATCGAGTTTCCTCCACAGGTCTGAGGGGCATTGTTCCCGTTCTCAAGGGATGACCTAAGACACACAAGGTAATCAGCTGAATTGTCTGCTCCTGAATGGAAGCCTTCCTGTCCATGAAAGTTGCCCAAAAGCTAATCACAGGTGATGTATGAGGACTGCATTCCTTCCAAATGCACCTTTCTTTATAAGAGAGTGTTTGCACTTTACTGAGAAAAGAATGTCACCTCCAACCCCTTCCCCCTCCCAGGCTATTCTCTATGGCTCACCGAAACCCTGAGTCTCTTCAAGTCCTCAAGTAGACTGAAGGCAATTGGTCTTTTTGTGCAGAGGTGAATTTCTGTCATATTTATTCAAGGACCTCAGGTGTAACTTGACATCCTTCAAAACAGAGGTGAAAACTGGACACTAAATTCTTACATGCAGCATCATAGAGAATCCTCATTCATCCCTCTCTCTCAGGATTATCATTGATCTGGTGAGATTTTTTTTTGCACTTGGGGAGGCATCCACTTCTTTCATGTCGTGTGAATTCCTAAATGGGAGGGTAAACCGTATATCATGTGTTTTCAATGCTCTTATCATTTTTACTGGTAGGTCTCACATATCTTTCTGGATCCATTCTGATTCATGACCCAAGTTCTGTAATTCTTGCTGAAGTCATCGTATTTTTCTGGAATGTTAGAGTCAAGGCTTTTCTTTTTTCTTTTCTTTTCTTTTCTTTTTTTTTTTTTTTGTCCTCACCACCCCACCTACATCCCAGTGAAGAGTAGCACATACTGAGTACTTAGTAATAATAACATATCTGTAAAGCACTTTCCTGTTACAAAGTACTTTCACAGATATCCTCCTACCTAGTAATGTGAGTTGAATTGACATGAACTGAGGTAATTGAATCGAGCAATCCCACTATGGTGTAGAGGTTTGGCAGAAAAGAAGAAAAAGAAGTGGGTCTGGAGAAGGCAAGAGCGATGACCATTGGAGTAGTGGAGTGCTAACATGATTTCAGGGCCATAGCCTCTACCAGATGGCTTGTTCCAGCTACTACTCTCAGTGCATTTCTTCTCTGCTTTGTACACAGCACCCTGGTCTTAAAGGCACAAAGCTTCTATGGAACTGGAGAAATGGGTTATAGAAGCGAGGTTCATTTTTTTTCTGATAAGAATGACGTCACCAGGAAGGACTGACTTATGGTCACGACCCAGTGGTTTGCTGTTTTTGTTTTTTCCTCCTCTGCTGAGAGAGTAAGCAGGAATGGAGTTCAGCTGAGCCACATGAAAGGAAAGAGATGTTTTTCTTTCCATTAGGGAGAAGTGGGAGAGTCAGCTGATCAGGGAGAGGACTGGTAGGTCCATGGCTCTCTCAAAGTCTAAATGAAAAGTGAAGCATTTGACCAGGAGCTGGAGCAGAAAGAAATAGCAGGGGCTGCAAATAGATTTCTTAAATCAGAAAAAAAGAAAAGAAAAGCAGACTTCAATTCAGCAGTGATTGGCCAAAGAGACAGAGATGATTTACTTGTGATCTCCAAAATTTCACTCTGAATGATATCTGAAGTCCCTAAATTTAAAGATGGATTTATCTATCATTTTAATAGTTATATTTTAATATTAAACATGCAAATATGTATTTTATATTTATGTAGGAAAAGGATAATTAAATTGATCTTCTTCTATTCCTGCTTCTCCGTGTTCCTACAGTTAGAGAGTTTCACTGTTCCATTGACTTATTACAGGTAGTAAGTCTTTGAGGAAGAAACAGTCAACTTTGATACAACTGTCTTTGCCCCAAATCAGACTAACTGAGATAAAACAAATATCTTATCTCTTTGCACCCAATGCCACTATTTGCATACCGTCTGCCTTATACATTTTAGGTACATAACATAAAAAAGGCACAAAAAAAATGTCTGTTTCATTTCTCTACGATTCTATTCCAGACCTTGGGGGGTGGGGGAGGTGCCCTCTGATGGCAGAAATGAGACTGATAAAGGGAGATGGTAACTGTCAAATCCTAGCCATTTTCCCCAAGACAGCTGGCTGTCTCTAAGCCAGATGAATTACACTTTCTCACACCCCTCCTCCACCCCAAATTCTGACAGCAGGGCTCATGCCTGAAATATTTCACACCCAAGACAGCTCCAGCACTCATGCACTAGAACAAGAGCCAGTGGGACTAGTAGAGCAGGGTCTTGAAGTTGTGCTTTGGACCCATTACCCCTTTAGTTGCTGAACTATGGAAGGATTTGGGGATGGTCCCTGGAGTGGGTAGAGGAAGGGATTTCAGAGTCTCTGAGCAGTAGCAACTGAAAAATTAGTACAGCCAGTGCACTCTGACTGATTGTCATCCCTCAGAGCATTGTAGTGAGTGTGGATGAGACTAAGAGCCACCCAATTCAATGTCTGCTGGGTGCTATACTGGGCATGGGGGCTGTAAAGATGAAAGAGACTCTGTCTCAGCACTTTTCTGCAGCCAATGGAGTTAGTCATTTCTTCCTTCACACAGCTGATTCCACCTCATCATTCAGTCCTATCACTGAATGCTGTTCATTTTCTTCACAACACTCACACAATGTGTAGTTTAAATACATACACTGGTGTGTAGATGTATGAATGTATGTGCTTATAGTCAGACTCCCCAGTAGACATGACCTCCATGAATTCTCAGCTCCCATCAAGGTGCCTGACAGTAGGCACAGAATAAATATTTGTTGAATAAAGGAATCAGTGGTCACAAAGGGATTGTCTGAGTATAATAAAACCACCTCAAACGATAAAGCATCAATTCTGTGCAAAACACATCTGTGCATGCCATAAAATGCTAATCTTAAATCTGTCCTGTGTCACCAGACATAAGCTGGGTTCTGGACCCACCACTGGTGGGTTTCCTAATGGAAGAACTCTAATAGTACCTGAGACTAGGAAAGGTGTGTGTGTGTGTGTGTGTGTGTGTGTGTGTGTGTGTGTGTGTGTGCCTTTTGTCATCAGATAAATGATGCCGTCAAACTGCTGGCTATTTAGATGATTAGGCTACTCAGTGTGCCTGTGGATGGTCAGCTGCTTGAATGACCCAAACTTTCATGAACCCATTTAGGTCATTGGAGGAAATGACATTTTTAAGTCTCAGCAAAGATTCCCTTCTGGATCTGCCTGAGCTGTGGGGGATTTTTTTTCCCCCTCCATTTATTTGACTCATTTCACTGATCCTTGCAAACAAGACAAAAATAGCCTTTTGATATTTTTCATCCTCCCTTATTAACTATGTGAGTCCTAAAGATCTCAGAAGAAAGCAAGGAAAGTGGCAGGATAGGAAAGAGGAGAAAATGCCATCTGTACCACTTTTGCAGGCTCTTCCCTCAAGTTTCAGGAGTCTTGCAGAAAGCCAGAAGGAAGGTTTGCATTCAGAAAAGGAGTCTTGCTGGTGTCCTCTATCTCTCTCTCTCTCTCTCTCTCTCTCTCTCTGCTCCCCCCATCCCCATGGCGGTTCCTACCCTGCTCCCCAACCCAGATCCTCCAACTCCACCCTTCCTTTCCGTTGCCCTGAAGGGGAGGACATGAGTCAGCATTCAGACTTGAAAGTGTGAGCTGCCTCTGAGTCCTCAGAATGTAATCATTTCAGAAAATCTAGGACACACAACTACAGAGAAAGTCATCCTCCCCATCTCCCTCTGTGGCCGGACATTTACTCCCACTCTCTGAATGCAGCTTTATCTGGGGTTGAACTTTAACCTTAACAACAACAACAACAACAACAACAACAACAACAACAACAACAAAACCAATATGGGGACCCCAGGAGAGCGGCAGGGACAAGCAGCACCCAAGTGCAATTGGCTGTATGGTTTTGCAGAGGAACTTCAACAGTTTACCACTTTGAACATCTGGTGCTTGGCCTTGTTCAGCCTGGAATTTAAAAAGAGAGAGAGGAAGACAAAGAAAAAGAAAATCATGCTCTGATCAGAGCCTCATTCCTGATCTTAGAAGCCAGAATTAATTTTCTCTTTTATTTTTCCAAAAGAGGAAGTACATTGGAATTCCCTCCAGGTATCTTGTTGAAACATGCAAGCATACCTTTAGACCCATTCTTCTTGGAAGGGGACCAACTTCATTGATTTTTTTGTTGTTGTTGTCGTTCAGCGGACATTCTATCAGTCTCCATATCCAGGTTTTTACTTGGCGCTGAGAAAGGAAACTCCAGTAAATGTCTCTCATCTACCCAGAGGGACTTCTTTTGTCTTGGATTTTGGAGAAAAGGCAAACAGGCTCACACATGGGGTTGTGGCAGACTTCATCATGGATCAGACAGCTCTGAGGAGAAAATCTACTTAGACTTCTTAAGATTCAACCTGTTCAGGATTAGGAGAAAGCCAAGACCTCATCTGTTCTTGTGTGCAGCAATCTGGCCAAAAGTAATTTAGAAAATGATGATCCTTCAGCTATAGAAAGGGGGGATTGCCAAGCTTGTCAACTCTTTACCTGCAGGGTTTCTAGTGCACCCTCTCTTGTTCTTGTTTGAAGCGTCTCCTCCTTCCTCTGGTCCAGTTAGCAAAGCAAGCAGGGTTTGGAAAGGGAGAGTGACTTGTAAGTGCCATAAGTCCAGTTGTTGAGTTCCTAGCTCCAAGTGTCTTGTTGCCAAAACAGACAAGAAGCACTCTTATCACACTCTTATTTCATAAACTGATCCTGGGGGTGCCTGGGTGGCGCAGGCGGTTAAGCATCCGACTTTGGATCAGGTCGTGATCTCTCGGATCGTGGGTTCAAGCCCAGCGTCAGGCTCTGTGCTGACAGCTTGGGGCCTGGAGCCTGCCTGCTTCAGGTTCTGTGTCTCCCTCTCTCTCTGCCCCTTCCCTGCTCACACGCTGTCTGCCTCTCTCTCTCTCTCTCTCTCTCTCTCTCTCTCACACACAAAAGTAAATAAGTATTAAAACAAAAATAAATAAATGGATCCTGGACGTAACCAACTTGCTTTGAGCAAACAGAAAATCAGAACCTGCTCGGGCTGGGACAGTGTCCTGACAGAAACTGGGAGAAGAGTGCTGCATGCTCCCTCCTTCTGAGGAATTATGGAGACACACACGTTTGTAATATTGAAGGAGGCTGAGAGAACTACTGCGAGAGAGAAGTGAGCTCAAAAGGCTGCACAGCCTGTTAGTGGCTGATAGGAGTGGAATTCACAGTGCCTCTGTCAGTCTTGGCCATTTCTGCCATACTGCTTCCAGCTGTGCACTCATTCTCAGTGGGCTGAAACTGGTCAGGCTGTGAATGTTCAGTGAAAAGAGAGTGATTTTGCAGTGTGTATGCAAGGGAGAATAGGAGAGGGAGGAAGGGGTACGTTGGGATGGTGGAAGTATCCAAAATGATGATCTAAATAGTTCCACATTATAGAAAACAACACCTACTTTCTTTTTTTTTTTTTTTAATTTTTTTTTTCAACGTTTATTTATTTTTGGGACAGAGAGAGACAGAGCATGAACGGGCGAGGGGCAGAGAGAGAGGGAGACACAGAATCGGAAACAGGCTCCAGGCTCTGAGACATCAGCCCAGAGCCCTACGCGGGGCTCGAACTCAAGGACCGTGAGATCGTGACCTGGTTGAAGTCGGACGCTTAACTGACTGCGCCACCCAGGCGCCCCTACTTTCTTTAACATATGGGCAATTCACCACTCAGTATGAACACAGTTGGCCTGGGGTGGGGGGGGGGGGAAGGGGCAGTTCAGTAAGTTCTCTTGGACATTGCTCTGTGCCTGCAACGTGCTCGTGACTCTGGGTGACTGCTAAGATGAGTAAGACCTGGTCTCTGTCCTTCTGAATTTTACAGCCTTTTTAGGAAAACTTACAGGTACACCCAGGCTCTGATGGGCTGAACACAGCATGTCCTGGGAGGACTGAGAAGGAGCCCCATTTGTTCAGGGATCTGGGGAAGAGACTGGCCTGCCTTGCACTTTTGGAGCTCAAGGAGACAGAGTGACTGTGACTTAAGAGTCTTCTTAGGAAGTTGGTTTTGGAATTGGCTTTTCCCTTTGCTTTTTCTCCTAAATTTTTTGGGGGGTTTTTGAGACTCTGTGCATGGTTAGCTCAAGTGATAACTATGAAGATTACAGGCATTTCAGGGGCATTCCCAGAAACCATCATCCAAATCAAGCAATCTCAACATGCTGGAGAGATGTGCAGTCTGAAATAGCCTGATGTCAGTGTCTTAACTTCATTTATTTTTATTTACATTTATACTTAATTTTACATATATATATGTATTTATTTATATATATATTTATATATATTTTATATTTATTTATATATATATTTATATATATTTTATATATATTTATATATACACACATATATATGCATGTATGTATATTTAATTAAAACCATTTTTTTTTTAGCATGGTCATCCCCAAAGAATAATATATACTTGTAAGGGAATTAAAGTCAGTCAAAGATTCTCCTGTAGAACCTGTTCCTTTTGTTGTTGTTGAAGTCATGTTCACAAGATCACTCTGGCTAATAAGAATCAGCAGTGTCTGTCTACCTGCTTTCCTTCCGTCTTACTTTCCTATCTTTATTCTTAAGACATCCAAACGTAGAGTTGAGGGACTTTAGCACTCCAGTTTGTCTTTATGAGTTGTATGACTTTTAAGCTAAGGACCTAGTAAAATCCCCAATTCAATTCAACAAACACAAAGTAAGTTTCAGATATTAGGAAGGATCATTTGCAGGATTGTAAATTCTTAAAATAGGAAAATTCTCCATATTAGTAATGTTCACTGTGGGCTAAGAATGATCGTGCCATTGTTCCTAACACTGCGGTCTCTGCAGAGGATTTAAGAAGGGCCAAACCCATCAGCATGGCAAAAACAAAACAAAGAAAAAACTTGAGAATACCTTGACCATACAGAACGCTGGTGATCATAGGGAGGAATTGGAGCTCAAGTACACTCTGGCAGGAGGCTACAACAGGACGACACCTTGGAAAACCATTTGGCGCTTTCTACTGAAGTTGACTGTATGCCTGCTGTATGGCCAGGCAATTCTACCTCACAATTGTACTCAAGAGTAATGAAAGCACATGGGCATCAAAAGACATGTGCAAAAATGTTCCCAGTAGAATTATTTGCAATAGCTCCCAAATGAAAACAACTCGAATATCCATCAACAGATGAATGGATAAATAAATTGCCATGTTATTTATGCAGTGAACCACCTATAACCAACTACAACAACATAGATGAATCTCACAAACAGAATGTCAAGCAAAATAAGCCAGAATATATATATTGTAACTCTATTTCTATAAAACTTTTTAAAAAGGTAAAATGAATATGTGATTTAAAATTATTTTTTAATGTTTATTTATTTTTGAGAGAGAGAGAGAGAGAGAGAACACGAGCAGAGGAGGGGGAGAGAGAAAGGGAGACACAGAATCCAAAGCAGGCTCCAGGCTCTGAGCTGTCAGCACAGAGCCCAACCCAGGGCTCGAACCCACGAGCTGTGAGATCATGACCTGAGCTGAAGTTGGACACTCAACTGACTGAGCCACCCCAGTGCCCGTGAATATGTGATTTTAGAAGTCAAGTTTTCTTGCAGCCAGCTAGTGATGGGGAAGAGCAATGAGAGGGGCTTCAATGGGGCTGATTATATTTTATTTCCCCATCTGGGTGTTGATTACATGGGTATGTTTATTGTATGAAAGTTCATTAAGCTCCAAATTTGTGCACTCTTCTGTGTATGTCAGAATTTAGGTTTTTCTTTTTAAATCCCCAAACCAAAATCATGAGAACATTCTATTTTTTTATCTGAAGGCATCTGTTTTTATTATTCTCAGGTTTAGGAAACATTGTTTATATTTTTGAAACTAAACTTCTGGAAGTTTATATTCTGAATTCAAGTCTAAGTTTGGCTTAGGGTCAAGCAACATCACAGGTGCCAGATTTGAAATTCTATTAGATACTTAAACAATAAATACATATTCTAGGGTCACATGTCACATCTTCCTTAACCGTAGGAAAGCAGAGGATATTTATGTTTTGGGACAAGGTAGGGGCAAGGTAACAGGAGATAGGATGGCTTTAGACAAATGGGTGTTTGTGTGAAAAATGAAGATATTGGTCAGTGTATTCCTGCTGTTTCTTGGCACAGGCTTAGCAGCTGGTGCTTTTGGGTTCCCAGTCTTCTCAGGGACTATGTTGAAACCACTGTAGCATTGACCACTCAACAATGATGGAATTAGTGATTGTTTTAAAAGCCCCTAATATGGCTTGGCTAGTGTAAGGATAAACATGAACACTGCACACAAGTCACTTTTACACAAAAGGTAGATTGTAAACACCAGTGCAAAGACTGAGATAAAATGCTCAAATAGCATTCTTGTGAGGGGTAGGCAGCTTTGGGCAATGGTTGCTACCTAGCCTTAATATCATTAGAGGTCCAAATTGCCCATTTGTGGCAAGTTTCAGGCTGATTTTATCTAGAAGCCCAAATTCTGAGAAGTGCAACCCTTGTGGCATGGGAAGAGGGGTCTCTGAATTTTTTTTTTTAATTTTTTTTCAACGTTTATTTATTTTTGGGACAGAGAGAGACAGAGCATGAATGGGGGAGGGGCAGAGAGAAAGGGAGACACAGAATCGGAAACA